TCATCCATTACAATAAATCTATCACACGCAGCTTAATTACAAGAACGCCATTAATTTCCGCGTAACACGCAGAATAAAATTGACTCTTGAGTTGTTATAAACTATTAACAGTTATGTAGTGCGCAAATATTTATTTATTTGCGTATTACTATATCAACTATACCAAATGTTGAAATACGCATGCGCGAGAAATTCGCTCCAACAAAATCTTCTGCATCTGGGATGTTATGTAAGCCTATATATATATATATACATATATATATATATATAGTAATACATACACTGATAAGTAAACACACTAGTTTGGACTGTTAAAAGTTTTGGAGTTTGGCCTTTGGAGTGTTTGCGTTTGGACGGTTTGGAGTGTACAGTATACAAATAAAATAAATATACGGCTGTTGTCAAATTTTGGTTTTAATTAAATAATTTGTATTTATTACTGTGTCTAGCGCCAGTGAGGGCGGCATCACTCATACTGCGAACTGCGAACTGCGAGTCCTGTGTATTTTTACCTGCAAGTCCTCTAATCGGTAGTATTAGAAAAATACATCTTGTATAACCGATATAACCCCTTTTCAGAGGACAAAGTTTGCCCACCGACTAAGCACCGCTTCGTCTCTATCTACCTATTGTTCTTGAAATGAAAGCCAGTAAGGTATCGCTTAAGGCCTCGTAGACGACGGTCCTCTGATTTTCTTGCTCTCAGAGATCCGTACAGCGAGTTCAGCTGGCCACGTTGACGAATAGAAAATGAAGAACTTGGTTTCCGTTTCTTAAGTTTGGCTGCTTCGGGCTGCTTAAGCTCATGCAGGCTGATCCAACCCAGATCGGTCGCATAATGCCCCTGACTTTTGAGCTGCACATCTTCGAGGCTACTGCCAAGGATGCCATTGGCATTGTATCTCACGACAGTGATACTGGGGCCAAGTGCTGTATCGCCAGGACTGAGAATCAAGTAATTACGTATCTGAATCTATTATCTTAAAAGAGGTGTGAGTAAAGGAGGTGCGCGAAATAATAAAACGAGTATTACAAGTTAGACAAAAGTTTATTTAATAAAACTGCCGACCGACGTAGAACACACCAGATACAATTTACAGACTTTACAGACTTACAACCGACTTATCAGACAAAGACAATAAAGCTAGAACCGACGAGAGGTGTAGAAGGCACGGTGGCTTACACTGTACTGACTACAAGGCCCGCAAGTATCACCTTGCCTGTGGCGCTGTCTTTCACACTATATATACTGCCTATCGAAAAGTCGTACATGCCAACACTTCCTCCCGACTTAAGATAGCTAAGTATATTAGACAAAAATTATAATTTAAAATAGATAAATAGATAAATAAATGTGTGTTCTTGACTCAGCTCCACGGCTCTGGGAATGCACCCAAGTAGTCCATGAGTCGGTCCATGGCTCCTTTATC